TCTCTGGAGAACTTTGGAATTGATAGCATGACAAGGGAGACAATGGCACAGGACCACCCAACATGGCATGCCTGCATCAAAGAAGGCTCTGTGCTCTATGAACAAAGCAGAATTGCAGCAGCTCAAAAGAAACGCGAGATGTGCAAATTTAGAGAAATCTCCACTCTAACTGTTCATATGGATTATTTGTGCCCAACCTGTGGTAGTCTTCTGAGCTCATACCGGTCTAATCAATCACAGTCAGGCACACTGTACCTTGACCTCAACTTAGTGATGTCATTTTGGTCCTCTTTGAGCACAAAGGACAGCAACCAAAAGATTTAAAGACCTCAGTAAGTACATTGGGTAAAGACTCTATTGCAGATTTTTGGAAATGCTTACAAAGGACAAAGAAAAAATGAGGTACGGATAGATTATGTCATATCACTGGAAGTATAACCCACTATGATGAAATCAAAGACCCACTCAATTAGCTAAGTAACACTGAAATACCACTTTTCGTGGTGGATAATAAGCTCAAGGAATTAATCAATCCAAGTGATGGCATATATATATGTATTTACTTTTGAAAAAAGTCTTCTTATATCACTGGTATATGGAACTCTCTCTGCCAATACAGTATGGTACCTGCTCTATAATATTGAATCTTAGAGAGTTGCATGGGGCACTGAGAGGTTAAGTTAGTTACTCATGATCAGTGGTCACAAAACCAGTATATGCCAGATGTAGGACTTAAATCCAAGTCTTCCTGACTCCAAAGACAACTCTCTATCATTATCTCCTGCTACTTCTGAAGAGGTGGCATGAGCCAAACAAATAGGTTCAATAAAAGTTTATTTTTAAATATTAATTACAAATTTGTAATGTGTTATTTTGGGAAAGTAGTACGCATCCCCAACTTTTGGAAGCTGGCATGTAAGAAGTTAAGTATGCCTTCCCTAGGGTCAGCTAGGTGGTGCAGTGGATAGAGCACCAGCTCTGGAGTCAGGAGAACCTGAGTTCAAATCCAGCTTCTGACACTTGACACTTTCTAGCTGTGTGACCCTGGACAAGTCACTTAACCCCATTGCCTGGCTGAAAAATAAATAAATATGCCTTCCCATAAATGTCCTTCTGTATCATTGCCTGAGACAGACTACTGGACTTTGAGCAAGAAATGAAATTCTTATGTTTGTAAATCAATTTAGAAAGAAAATAATCTAGGAAAATCCACTTATATCACTTAACTGTCAAAAGAAAAACAATGGAAAAGATCAGGAGATTGAAAATCAAGAAAGGTGAATTTTAGTTTTATTATATGAGCTTGGCTAACTCACTGAATGTCTCTGAGCCTTCATTCCAAATCTGTAAAATGAAAGGGCTGAATCAGATGACCTATGAAGTCTTTCCCCAGCTCAGAAATTTTATGATTCTGTGGGTGATCAGCAGGTGGCAGTCAAGCAACATGAAAAATGATAGAGCGTCCACACAGAATAAAAAATATCAAATACATCTTAAGACCCAAAGACTGTCAAGTATTGTGCTTTACTGGATCTATATTTTGTCCATTTGTATAATCTCTTCAAACTTTCTCATCCCGCACAATTCTTAAACACGTCTTCTTCCCCTGATTCTTTTAATACGTGATAGATGCAGAAGAAGCACTCAGGCTAGTCATCAGTTACATCTTACTCTTGATACATGACAGCCCACCTCTTTTGGGGGTTTATTAGTCTCTAATGATGTAATTTACCCTATGTGTCACATTCAAGTCATCATTGTTAATTATATGCTAACTCATTAACTTACATTACTTATGCAATTCTCTTTTGGTCATTGGGTCACCTGAAACTGTGATTCTTCTGATATCATGGTGGTTTGTGATTCACAATTGTAAAGGATTATCAGAGGAAGCTTCATTTTACTGCCATGGAGTTTTGTGGCAGTGGGCAGTATGACATCATCTAAAGTTCTGTGCAGTTTCCTCAATGGTGTCTAGTATAATGTCCTCCTATTCAATTCTAGGCTTGGCTTGTTATCTGTCCAAACTGTCTGCCAAAGTGATAAGTACTGATGAACACTACAATAGATTTATCATCCAAATGCACACAGCTATCTGGCCAATAAGTATTCTTCATCCCCTTTATTTTATTGTGTAGATGGCCAGGATGGTCAAGTGCTAGATTATGGATTAAAATGGAAAACACTTGAGATAGTCATTTATGTGTGCTAAATATTGACAGTGAACATTGATTTTTTTTTAATAGCATCAGTGAGTCTAGTCTCCATCTGCAGCATGGGGTTATGGTTTTATACATAATTCAACAGCAAACTGACAAGTGAGTTACTAACTTAAAAAAATCAAACACTATTTTTTTCACCCTCAACAGTAATATTCCATTGCCCAGCTTCAGAATATTATCCTTTTAGAACACGTTAATGATAGGTGTAGGGATAGGGCGTGGGACTAGACCTGGGACAATGTGATATCATAGGTCTAAGAAGCTTCTGGGAAAGGAGCTGCCAATACAGGTCTGAACTTTCTCTAAAATTTACAGTCTTAGAGAGTTGCCTATAGTACCGAGAGGCTGTGATTAGCTCAGGGTCCCCCAGAAAGTATATGTAAGAGTGGGGCTTAAATCTAGATATGACTAGCTCCAAAGCCAGCTTTCTGGGATTAAAGGGGTTAAAGTCAGGAAATGCTACATTTCATGTTAACACTTCAATCTTGACCTTCAAAGCCATAGGAAGCCTTATTTACTTTGCATATGCTGACATGAGCTCAGCAATTCAGGAAATGCTGATTCATGAAATTAAGGATATGTTTATTTCATACATCATCATGAAGTGTGATGTTTTTAGAAGACTCAAAATTACAGGTGACCCAAAGGATAACATAAAAATGAGAGTACACTGATAATTTGCGTAAAATTGTGGAAGACAGACAAGAACAATGACATGGTCAAGGGCATGGTCAAGAATTACGTAATATAATGTATAACTTATGTCAAATTATTGTCTTCTCAATAGAAGGGAAGTGAAGGAGGGAGGTAATTCAGAACTCAAAATTTGAAAAAAAATGCTGAAACTGTTTTATATGTAACTAGGAAAAATAAAATATTAAAAAGAAAAAAAACCCTACATATTATAAGAAGACATGGATAGGACAGGTCACAATTTGCACCAGTTTCTCAAGTAATTACACAGATGAGACCATGGAGCAACTGAAACATTGACATAAGTGACATTTTACATATGACTATTTAGATACTTCAATATATATATTAACAGCAATCAACTTAAAACCTTAAATCAAACATCTTCAGGGTGAGATCAAGAGCTGCCAGTAAAAACAAAAGCATTACTACCTTGGCATTCCCATGTACAATTCATCTTTATATATAAAACTAAAAGCTCTGTCAGGAAGATAAGAAGCTGAGCAGTTCTTTTGAACATGGTCATTTAAAATCAGAAAACTATTCTAACAGCACAGAAAACTATTCCAGTTGGAGAGATGGAATCAATAAATTACAATTTTTAAATTTTTTTTCAAGGATTTTGCCCTAGCAACCTGATGCCTTATTTTTATTTTTGTTGGCAGACATAATTTACTAGACACAGCAATGATATACATAACTTTAGATGTCTACACCAATCATTTAAAGTGTTCTTTACAAATCTTGTGTGAATGTGTAAAGTTAACTAATAATAATATTAATAATAATAGCATTTATATCACACTTCAAAGTTTACCAAGTGCTTTACAAATATCTCATTCTATCCTCACAATTACCTTGGGAGACAGGTGCTATTATTATCCCCATTGGAAGGAAGGATTTATTAAGTGCATACTATATGCCAGGCCCTATGCTAAGTGCTTTATAAATATTTCATTTGGTCCTCAACAACCCTGAAGGTAGGTGCTACTATTATTCTGCTACTATTATTCCTGTTTTACAATTGAAGTAACTAAGGCAGTTAAGTGACTTGTCCAGGGTCACACAACTAGTAAGTTTCTGAGGCTGGATTTGAATTCAAATCTTCCAAACTCCAGGTCCAGCATTCCGCCCATTGTGATACCTAGCTGCCTCTATCTAAAGGCAGAGAGTAAGGCATCGTGAAATGAATAGAGAGCTGGTCTTTGAGACAGGAAGATCTGGGTTCATGTCCCACCTCTGACACATACTGACTGTGTGACTCCAGGCAAGTGACTAACTTAACCTCTCAATGCTGCAGGAAACATTCCAAAACTGTAGGTTTCTGAGAAGATGCTGACCTATACTGATAGAAGGATGCTTCATTGGGAACTTCAGATGAACTCGTAGGCACAAGCATAATAAATAAATGAATGGATGGATAAAGACAAAAATAGATAAATAGATGAAAAATAAATCAATGAATGAATGGATGAACAAATAATGACTGAATGGATAAATATATAGATGAACAGATAAATAAATCAATGATTGGATAGGTAGATGGATGATGAATAGAAGCTTGCAAGTATACAACGCAAAATAGAAGTTCAATAGTTTTTGGGAAAAAGAAGTCTGGACCTGGAGTCAAGATCTCAGTCAATTTTTTGTTCTAGTAGCTATAAGCCTTAAAAAGAAAAAAAAATCTTACTACTATAGCTTTTCAAAAATGCAAAAACAAAAATTGCTGCAGTAATACGGGACTATAACAATTCTTTGAATCAAAGGAAATCTCCATTCTTGGGCAATCGGGTCAGAGTACAACCTGGAAAGAGTCCAAAGAAAGCCAAGATGGAGCTGAACCATTCACAATCAAAACCAAGTCAAACCAGAGTAGGATCCTCTGATACTTTTTGAGTCTGAGCAGTGTGAAGACATGGACTTTCCAAGAGTGGTACACTCAGCAGTGTTATCAGGTCAGAGAAAGCATTCTGGGCAACAAACATTAGCTCCACCCAATGCATTCTCTACATGTGACTGGATAGAATCTGGTATTGGCTTTGTTTCCACCCTGCTACATAAACCAAGCTGTTACCATGTACTTACATCTTTCTTGGTCACCTCTTCTGGTGTCAGAATAGGATGAGTTATTTCCAGTGTCTGTTCTGGAAACTTCTGAACAGGGAAATACTGGCTATTATTTTGGCTTGAATTTGAGCTTTCCCATGGTTCACCAGTACCACAAAGAGTACTCTAAAATAAAATAATAAAACAAGAGAAATTAGACAATGAAATGGTTTATTTTTACAACATAACCATTTAATTATATTTCCTATATTATTTCCTAGCTGTATTTGTTAATGTAGCAAGTTTTATGATTTATATTACATTTCTACAATCATGCATTTATTGATCATAAGCACTTGATAAGTATCACCTTTTTCTCCCCTAGTTGAAGGCAACAAGCATTTATTATGCACCTGTTATATACTGGGAACCGTGCTAAATGCTTTACAAATATCATCTCATTTAATCCGTACTACGACCCTGGGAGGTAGGTGCTATTATTATTATTCTCATTTATAGTTGAGGCAGCTGAGGCAAACAGGTTTAAGTGACTTGCCCAAGGTCACACAGCTAGTCAATGTTTGGGGCTGCATTTGAATGCAGGACTTCCTGACCAGTGGGCAGCTAGGTGGCACAGTGAATAGAGTGCCAGGCCTGAAGTCAGGAAGACTCATCTTCCCAAGTTCAAATCCAGTCTCAGACACTTATAGCTGTGTGACCCTGGGCAAGTCACTTAAATCTGTTTGCCTCAGTTTTTCATCTGTAAAATGACTTGGAGAAGGAAATGGCAAACCACTCCAGTATCCTTGCCAAGAAAACCCCAAATGGTATCATGGAATCTGACATGACTGAAACAAGAGAACACACTTCCCAACTTCAGGTCCAGTGTTCTATCCACTACCATCTACCTTCTCCTCTGCCCTAGACCAGAAGATTTAGCAGAATTATTCTACACAATCACAAGTGCTTAGTGTTTTCCTTACAAATTCATAGGTCCTATCTAGCAATTGTGTGAGTGGGGAATCTGATACAAGATGTTATTATAACATCTTTAGCAGTGCCTACCAGATATTAAACTAAGGAAGCATCTGTTAAAGTCTTTCCCTTTTGAGAAGAATCTATAAATTCTCTTGGATAAATAAAAGTTTGTTTTATTCTGATTCTATTAAAGCAAAAACAAATATTAAAGTGAAACATTAATAATACTAATTTATAATTTTGTATTAAGACTATTTGCTAGGTAATAAAGTAGATAGATTTCTAGACTTGGAAGTAGAAAGATCTGAGTTCAAATTCTGATCCAGACATTTACTGGATATGTGACTCTAAAATGAGGGGGTGGCCATATCTTCCAGCTCTAAATTAATGACACTACAATTCCACAATATTTCTACCAGTCCCCAGAAAAGTGGAAAGGTATGTAAATACACATACACACACATACTTAAATATAACTTTTCTAAGGAAAAGGTTGTTTTATAAGTGTATGTGTATATATGTGTCTGTGTATGTATGTATGTGTGTGTGTATATATATATTATAAAACACCCTTCCTTTACATGTATACATAAATATTCCTTTATACATACATAAATAATAGTTTACACACACAAACACAGTTAACTAAATCTGTATGTGATATGAAAAAATAAATGTGTGTACAGTATTTCTGCATCTCCGCAATCATTTCATGTTGTCTTAAGATTCTTTCTTCCTTCAAAGCAGTAACTGAACTGTTGTGTTACAATTTTCCTAACCTCCAGCACCCTATATCAGATCCCAATCTAAGGATTGGAGAGATTTAAGTCAACCATGAAAATGAACACTGACTTCTTACTTCTGGAAGCTAAATTCAATTAAGGCTTTTGGCTGACTGTTGTAGACAAATCAAAGTAATAATAAATATTAAAATATTACATAGATCTACTGCCTTGGGCCACAGATTCATTGATACAGTACCATGTTATGACACTGCTGAACTTAAAAGATTGGTAAAATGTGTTTAAGCAGTAAAATGTATACATGTGTACCTTACATATGCAATATTTGGCAAGGCAAATAAATTTCCCCAGTGCAAATAGAATGCAGATTGGGTATGCATGATTCTATGATTTTCTTAAGTGTGAGAGAGGAATCATTTAAAAAAAATAGAAGTATAAATGTTTTTCATAATATAACAGTTCATATTTATATATCTTGATGTCTACAAAAGCATTTTCCTCCAAACCACTCTGTAAGGGAGGTAGTTTAAGAATTATTACGTCCATTTCACACATGATAAAAATTGAGACTCAGAGAGTTGAAGTGACTTGCCCCAATATCAGACAAGTAGTAAAGTGAGATTTGAATCCAGGTCTTACAGATTCCAAGACCAGTGTTCTTTCCATCATTCCATGTTGCCTTCTACAAGGCAGATTTATCCAAAGAGACAGTTAAGAAATCCAATCCTTTTGAAATACATTTATATTCTGGTCTTCACACAAAAAAGTAAAAACAAATCTACTCCACATGTCTATCAAAAAAGTAAAGGATCCTTCTGAAGCACTTCCTGGTTGCTATTTTGAATTTGATTTGAAATGAGGGCAAAAAAATCTCTTCAAACAGAATTGTAATCAGCATTCTATTCTAGCCACTACATATCTGTGATTAAGGCCCATATTATAAAATATCAGCTGCTAATTTAAATAACCTATTCTTCATTATTAGAAATCATTCCAGCATCTCACACTCTCTTAAACTTTACCTTTTTTTTCTTGTCACTGAATTCTATGCAACCAATAATTTAAAAAAATAATAATTTACATGACTAGCATTCTGCTACTCAAAACCAGACTTCATGCCACAGTGCACAGTGCAGAAAATAAATTTGGTTTTCAACAATTGATCCTTCTTCTAGATAAGCATGGCTATAGAAAGGAAAAATGAGTGGCCTTAGAGTCAGAAGACCTGAGTTTTCATCTCAGCTGTGTGAACCTCAGCAAGTCACTGACTGCCTCTGACCCTATATTTCCTTAACCATAAAATGTGGATAAGGATTTTTTTCCTAGGTATTTTATAGGACTGTTATAAGGATTAAATCAAATTATATATGTCAAAGTGTTAGACCAATGTCTGACAAATTAAAATTCAACGTGATCAACAACTTCATTTTTTAAAAAATGAAGTTGATAGTAGGTAGAATCATCAGTTTACTTACTGTTTGTTCTTGAGATTCAAGCTCTGCTACATGCTGGAGTTTATCGAAAAAAGGCACAATGCTCTCATCGTATATTTTCCACCAGAGATCAAGAAATGAGACATGATGCTGAGATTCTGAAGTTAAGCTCTCCGAAATCACTGAGCCAGTCTGACGGTTATATTTGTAGTGCCAAGGCTTTGATGGCCCCAAAAAATGGACCACTTTTGCATCCGAGCCAAATCTTAGAAAACAACAATAATCTATTTTTTTCACTTGAGTGATGACACATCCAAGTAATTTATTCAACAATTGCAAAGTTCTTAAAAAATGAAAGGGAACTGGGAGATTCTTTCAATGCTTTTTTTAAAATTGAAAATCACTTCATTTTTTATCGAAAATCACTTTTACTTTTATTGAAGGCCAATTCACAACGAACTTAGATTAAAACTATTTTTCTTATCAATATGTCAAGGAACTCTGATTCATCAGACCTTAAAAACTCCCTCCCCATTGGGACAAATCACAAACCATTTAAAACATGGAGACTTAGAGGGTTTTCTGAGGAATAGAAAGGTTGAATAAATTGACCACAATCATGCAGTTCATATATTTTACTATCGGAGGTTGACCTTGTTTCCAAGCCTTCCTAATTGCAGTTTCAGCATTCTATCCCCTATGCCATACTCCCTTTCATTTTCAGTGAAACAGTCCCGATGCTTAAAATAGCATGAATATATTTTTTATATAAATAAAAAGGCAGTTATGTTTCATGTTTCTATATGGGGTTTACTAGGGAAAGTGCTAGGCTGGGAGACAGAGGATGTAAATTTTAATCCTAGCTATAATGCTAAATAACCATAAAATCTGGGACAAGTCACTTAACTTCTGGGCCTCAATTTCTTCATTTCTAAGGTCTCTTCGAGATTTAAAATACTTATTTAATTTTTTTTTTAGAGTCTATGTGGTATAGTTGCTTTGAAATCAAAGGACCTGGATTCAAATTCTGTCTCTGATGCTTACCATGTGTGTGACCTCAAGCAAATCACTTAACTTTCTTGGACTTCAAATATTCTCATCTGCCAAATGAGCAGGTCTTTGAGGTCCTTTCCAGCCCTACATCTATGATTCTGTGACCCTATTACTTATAGTCACATATACTTAGTTTCAAGTCCAAACCAGAACTCATTCTTTCTCTTTAAACTTTACTTTCTTCTTAATGACCCTGTTTATATTGAAGGAAGAAAAGAAACAAACATGTATTAAATGCCTACTATGTGCTAGGAATTATGTTAAAAGTTTTACAAATCTTATTTCATTTGTTCCTTACAACAACCATGGAAAGTAGGTGCTATTATTATCCTTCTTTTACAGAGGAGGAAACTGAGTCAGAGGTTAAATGCATTGCCCAGTGTCATATAGCTGCCTTTTGTGGAAGGCACCATCAACCTTATAACTACCTAATTTCCCAACTAAGGTGTCATCCTTAACTCTTCACCCCATCCACCCTTACTTTATGACATTAAATAATTTGCCAAGTGTTACCAAGTCCACCTGCTCAATATCTCTCACACTGGTCCCTTTCTCTCCACTCACTTCACAACTTTCTAGTCCAGGCCTTCATCACTTCTCACCTGGACTAAGATGACAGCCTCCTAATTAGGTTCCCTGTATCCATCTTTCTCCTCTCCAAACTACCCTCTATAAAGTTGCCAAAGTGATGTCCCTAAAGTATAGACCTGTCCATGGGACTCCCCCACTTCCCAACCTCAGTGCTGTTCTGTTTGCCATTAACGCCCTTCACAGTCTGGCAGCAGATGATCTTTCTAAAGTAATTACCTTTTATTCTTCCCTATTTGCTCTTTGTTCCAGCAAAATTGGCCCACTTGCTCTTCCTGATAAATGACATCCTATTTCTTCCCTTTGTACCTCCACACGTGCATGGAACGCTCTTCTGACTTCACTTCACTTTGGAACCCCAAGCTCCCTGTAAGGTTCAGTTCAAGTGTCACTTCTTTCAAGGGGCCTTTTCTGATTCCCCCAGTGATCAGAGCTCCCTCCTCCAAGTTTCTATGCATTTATCCTGTAGTATCCCGTACTTGCCTTTGCATTATCATAGCACGCTAATAGAATAAAAGTTCTTTGTATCCCCAGGGCCTGGAGCTGACCTGACACATAGTAGGCACTTAATGACTGCTTCTTGATTGGTTGATTCAATTGTTAGCTCAATCACCTGCTCAGCTTCCTCAACATAGGGGTGATAATGATTGCCATAATCATTCAGAAGGTTGTTTTTAAGAATTTAATGTCACCGTAAAGTACTGGGTAAATGTAAGCAATTATTAATATATTATCAATATACATTATCAAATACTATTTGAAGCTCTAATAACCTTGCCAAAAATTGAAAATTTTAACATTTCTTAATAGTACATATGTTTAGCAAAATGATGTGAACGCAAAGGGTAACCTTGATAGTTGCTGATAAATCCAATTTGTTTAGCATATTGATCCACTTTATTAACCAATTCTAAAGGTTTGTGTTTTGTTTTGTTTTCACTTCATCTGGAGACATTTCATTCCCTAGACTGCTCACAAAAATCATGTACTGTACTAAAACTTCATCACATAATTATCCCCCAAGTTCCTGGTGGAAACAACAAGGACCATAATATAATGGAAAGAACTCTAGATTTAAAGTCAGAGGGACATGACTTCAAATACTGGCTTTGCTATTTTCTACCTCTGTGACCTTAAGCAAAATGGTTTCTCTCTGTGCCTCAGTTTCCACCTCTGTAAAATGAAAAGAATGCACTAGAGAACTTCTAAGGTCCCTTCCAGCTCTATATTCTATTACCAAGAATAGGTAACAGTGGTAACGGAATTCCAGTAGTTAGGGTAAATTCAACTAATCTAGGGTTGTGGGGTAGTTGCATGAACCATTGGAGTCAAGAGGGTGCAGGAAAAGGGAGGTTAAAGTACCTTGAAGAGAGAGGTCCTAAGGGTTAAGGAGGCTAAGGAAGATGTAGAGCAGAATATTCAAAGTGGGTACAGGTTGAGGTAGAGAAGACTGTGAGCTATGTATTGAACTAGTACTTAGCACACCATAAATCTAGCTGACTTGACTGATCCAGAGGTCCATAAATGATAGCAGCAAAGATCCACACAAGATGGATTGGAATTTAAAGAGGGAAAATATTGATGAGTGACAGTGGAAAGGGCAAGATATTAAAGTAGCATTGGGAACAAGGAGTACGTGTCACTTCTACTTTCTGGCCTTGTATATCAAGAGGTGCAGGAAACCCTGGTGAGAGGCAGGACTGATGCTGTATTTTAGTAAGCACCAGAATATGAAAGTCATCTTAAAGGACAGCTACAGGATCATAGATTTGAGCTGTGAGGGACCTTGAAGTTCATCTTAGGCCTATCTTGGGGTTTTTCCTGTTGTTCACAAATCTGAAGTTATCTGCTCAAGATCACACAGATTTCACACTTAGGTTTTCTGACCCTAAATCCTGAGATCTTTCTACTGTACCATAACAGAATAAAGCACTTGGACAGTGTAGTGTAGGGGTTCTAAAACTGGGTTACATGAAATATATTTGAATAACTATAGTTCAAAATAACTATTTTAATCTTAGAAGAGGCCCACAGACTTCAGGATACTGCCCAAAGGATTCCATTTAAAAAAAGGAGAGAGAAAGAAAAGGTTAAGAACTCCTAGTATAGTGTAAAGAGAAGGCAATAAAGTGGAGGCTAGTAATTGCAGAAGGGCTATGGTTGACTTTACTATGGAAGAAGATAAATGGGGAAGGTGATAAGATGGCCAGCACAGCTAGATGTGAACAGCTTTCATTACTTATGTCACTAAGTGATCCCACACTGATACAAGGCATCTAGCATGGCATGGCTCCCAGATAAGGTGGTTCATATGACTAGGAAGGGAAGGCAACACAGAAAAGGGTATGGCACACTCATGGGACCCTGAGGGAGAGGCAAACTAGGTCCCTCAAAGAAGTAAATCACTTGGGCTGACAGTTGATGCTGAGAGGGAAAAGTGGTTGGCCAGGGAACCAGAAGTAAGCCCCAACCATGGAAGGCGATCATGCTTTCTGAGATGCAGGCATCTATGTCATAGTATACCAATCACGCCATGCTAGTAACAGCTCTGCCCTTGATAATTACTTGTAAGTCAGAAATGCTGGCCCATGAATAAAGCAATCAGACACTTGAAATCTGCAAGTCTTGAACTAATATGAATACAATTTGCATTTATATGTCAGAGTCAGGCTGACTGCCATGGAGAGAGAAAAAGCTACTACAATAAAGAATGGGGGGGGGGAACTCAATAGCAATCAAACTTACTTATTGAAAGCAGGTCTATAGGTATAGATGGTGCTACTGCTCAAGTTATAGAGAAATGGCAAATGTTTGCGAATATCTGAAGTTGCCCAGTTACTGAAGAAACTATTCAATAATCCTTGGTCAGCCCCTAGTAATTAAAAAAGAAAAACATAAAAGAGAAATGCATAAACATAACATGTAGACATTAAGAAAATGGATACAAATGAATATTCATGATGAAGGAGACTAGGAATTACTGACTTCTCTGCTTTCTGGATAATATTGTTTCAGACTGTTCTCTCTGAAGAATTTGCAATAATTTCCTCAAAAGCTCTCACAGACAGAATCAGAAAACCAGAATCTGACCCGTTAATATACTATAGCAAAAGAAAGGGATCTAATGGTCTAAGAGAACAATAAGATAAATCCACATAACTACTGTCAGCTAAAACCTTATGCTTATATTTCTCTTCCTAGAGGTCTTGCTAATTCAAACTAAAATGTTAAGTACATTAATTCTTTCCTAAAATCATCATCTAGGACAGCTAGATGGCACAGTGGATAGAACAACGGCCCTTGAGTCAGGAGGACCTGAGTCCAAATCTTGCCTCAAACACATAACACTCACTAGCTGTGTGACTCTGGGCAAGTCACTTAATCCCAACTGCCTCACTCACAAACAAAAAAAAAAACAAACAAAAAACAAATAAAATTATCGTCAGTACATCTGATGAAAGCAAGTTGGTATTTGCCAAGCTTTATTTACTATGACGTCACTTTCAATATCTAACATACTCATCTCTATATTAAGGAAATTTCTATTTTCTAGCCAGATATTTCTTCTATTATTAGGATTCCAAATAACTATGTTACTATGTGTTTCCTTAATTACCACTAAACTTTAACCCTTTTTTTCTCTTTAACTCTGCATAGAAAAAGAATAGTGAGTTAGAGTTCTAAGTTTGACACTGAGTAGCTATGTGACATTAGACAAGTCATTTAATTTCTCTGAGCCTGCATTTCCTCATCTGTAAAATAAAGGGATTGGACTAGATGATCTCGAAGATCTGTTCCAGTTTTTAACAATCTATCTTCTATTTTACCCACTTAGCTGAATATTACTTCAATAGCTCTTTATAGTTGTTTATGTCAATTTTATCCTTTTAACCTACGTATCCTTGCCTACTGAGTTGATTCAAAATACAAGGCAAAAAAAAACCAGATAAAATCCAAGTAGGAGTGTATATAATTTCTAGGCAAGCAACTCTTTCCTCTCCAAGATTTACCATCAAAACTTCCATGTTTCACTGCATGCTGCATCAGCAGGCTATGGGTTTCTAAAGACGGTCGGAAAACAAATACTCCACTGTTGAAACAATCTGGCCATCCAGGGTCTGGGGCCGCAGAGAGCTCTTCACGGTCAAATAGCTCATCAATATTACACAGCACCTGGGGAAACAGAAGCCAGCTGAAAAAATTGCATCAGTATGTCTCAGGAGTTTGACAAATAACTAACAAATGAAACTGATGCTTAGGGGTAGAAAAAGACAGGCATTTTTTGCTTTTGTTTTAATTTTGTTTTGTTTTAATGTGTCCTTTTAAATTCAGTCAGAATCATGAATGAAGTTTTCTGTATTTCTAAAGAAAAGAAAATGCTGTAGTAACTCTGCCTTTGAGATGAAAGTGATTTTCTTGATGTTCTTAAGGTACTACTTTTAAATGTTCACCTGTCCTACTCTTAACATAGGTGACAAGTGAAACAAAGGGAACACACATAGTGAAGAGCAAAGAACATGTTTAATATGCTACCTCTGAGAGTCTGATGGCAGCATACAGTTTCCTCAGTGACTTTCTAAATGGTGTTCTAGTTTAAAAAAAAAGAAATAGAAAAAGTATTGAATAGCCTTTTGTTCCTGCTCCCTTGCTTGTCATTTCATTCAGATACCTTTTCAAAGATACATTACAAAATAAACTAGAACCAAATAAACTACCAGCACTCATGCCACCTCAGAACATAGACTCTCTGTTGAAATTTGATCATGAACTTGAAGATTTCGATTTCTATTTAAATGAACTCCTTGACCACAGAAGTTGAATGTGCATTTTCCAAGTCTGTTGCCAGCTAACCCAAAAATCAGGCATAGCAATCCTATCTGTATATCTAATAATAACACAAACATATGTAGTCTTTTAGTATTCAAAAGGTGCTTTATTTATATTATTTTATTTGATCCTACAACTCTGTGAGGTGGAAATAAAAGCAGTACTATCCTATTTTTACAGAAAAAACTCAGGTCTCTTCACACTCAGTAGTTTATTCATGGCCACATGACTGAGAAGTATCAACATTAGGATTCAAATGTGGGTCCCATCCAAAGTATAGTGTATTCTATTATATAAAGATTTCTTCTACTGTACTCATTGTTGGGCACACACAATTTGGCACTTGATTTTATTTCTGTCTAATAATCCAGGGGTTCTTAAATGTAGAGTCCAAGAAATTTATTTTTAAATTTTTTTATAATATTTATAGCAGCTCTTTTCTGGGGGCAAAGAATTGGAAATTGTGGGGATGCCCATCAACTGGAATATGACTGAATAAATTGTGGTATCTAATTGTGATAGGATACTATTGTGCTATAAGATACAAAGTGAAATGTACTACGTACAAAGTAACAGCAACATTGTAAGACGATCAGCTATGAATAACTTGGCTATTTTCAGCAATACAATGATCCAAGACAATTCTGAAGGACTTATGATGAAAAATGCTATCTATCTCCAGAGAAAGAACTGTCTGAATACAGATTGAAGCATACATTTTTCACTTTCTTTATTTTTCTTGAGGTTTTGTGAGGTTTTTGGCCTATGTTTTCTTTCACAACATGACTATTATGGAAATGTTTTTCATTACTACACATGTATAACCTATATCGAATTTCTTGTCTTCTCAGTGGGGGGTATGGAGAGGAAGGAAGGGAGAGAATTTGGAACTCAAAGTTTTAAAAAACAAATGTTAAAAATTGTTTTCATGTGGAACTGGGGAAAAAGAAAAGACAATATTTTTTTAAAAAAATAACTGTATTTCAATATAATTCCTTCCTTTGTAATCCTACGTGTGTTATTTTAGAATTAAAAAACAAAACATTATTCTGAGAAGGGACACAAAGGCTTCACAGGATTGCCAATCCAGTCTAAGATGCAAAATGGTTAAGAACTACTGTTCCAGTTGTTTTATATTACATACTAATATACATATACATAACTAATAGTTAGATTGTAAACTCCTTGAGGCAAGGGACCATGTTTTACATTTCTCACATAACAAGCAGAGCAATAGTTGAGGATGCTGCCAAAACTCAATAAATACTTGTATGTTGAATAACTGATGCTATATAGTGAGCATAAGAATGCTGCATTCTCAAGTAAATAGGATAGCAGTTCAGTACAAATTAGAAACTTCTTGTTATATGAATATATAGTATAAAAAGGTCAGTATCATATACTGTAAGGATATCCTACTCTAGTCTGCTATCCTTCTCCATTTTGTGAGTGTTTGTCCCATTCACACTCACAGTTATACTTTACTGATCCTCTTGTACTTTTTTTCCTCCCATCTCCTCCTTTACAATTATGGAGGTAATAAAGGAAGTTTGCCCACATATGTGCTCTTAAAAGTGAAACATTATTTTTTTCTCTGATGCATCTTTTATTTTGCCTTTATGCCATCCCAATGCCTGGTTTTATCTTTGTTTTCCTTTCCTTTTAAACCACCTTCACATCCCTCTCACAAATATTCAAAGTCTTTTTTTTTGGCTTATTACTATGCTTTTACCTATCCTGCCCTCCCTCTTAGACCCTTCTCTACCCCATTCCCCTGTCCCCTTCTATTTCTCTTTTGAGTTTAACGTATTTCTATACCAAAATCCCTATGTGTTTGTATGTATTTGAGATTACGTTAAATTTTCCTCTATCCAATTCAATTCATGAGATATTAATTCCACTCACCTCTTTCTCCATGATCATATATTCTTCATCTTATGCACCTCTATTATGTAATAGTGATTTTCCTCCCTTCCTCCTCCTTTCTCCCCCAGTATAGTCCCCTGTACCTCCCATCTTTGTTTTCCCCAAGACTGATAAAAGAACAAAAGTACCTACCAATCCACTCTAATTTTCTCTATGACCCTCAAAGAATTTAAAGGTCTGGAAAGGATCAAGCTGGACTGAGGTACTTCTTGATGTTGGGGCTTGGGCAGGAATTACTGGAGTGCTTTCTGCATTATGTCTCATCCTTGATATAACCCAACTTCTTCATGCCAGTCACTCTGCAGGATTCTGGAGGTTTTTCTGTGGACTTCTGGTTTGGGTGAAGGAGTCCAAAGGTGATTCATTCCCTTACCAGAGTGGTGCATCTCTAAGCTCTGAGGGATCCTCTGTATCTAGTCTGCCATCATCTTTCCACAATCTCCCTAAAACTATTATAAGTTTTTTTTAGTTTTATAACACATAACTGCTCTTCATCATTTCCTATTGTACTCACCAATGTATCAGCATCCATAAAGATACATTTGCTATAATGAGTAAGAGTCCAACAGTGAAGTTTAGTGAAGGTTACACCAAGTTCTGGTCTCTTCAGCAAAGCCAAGTGGACATAGTCAGCACTGTCTTCTAAATCCACTTCAATGACTTCATCAAAAACTTTGTAGAGAACATCCCTGAAGGAAGGGGAAAAAAACCCAGCATAACTATATCTACACACACACACACACACACACACACACACACACATACTCATATATATGTATATATGTGTGTGTGTATACATATATATACATATATATATATATAATATCAGAGCAAAGAGTGAACATTTTAATACAGTGCAACATTTTTCTTTAAGTGAATGGCCTTTTGTACTATTAAATCATAGATCACTGAATAGATTTATGTTTAGAAGCCAAAGATTAGTAAGCAAAATAAATATATTAGCATATAGTATGCTACAGCACAGACTGCTTTCTAAAAAGCCAAAGCCTCCAGGTACTATTTGCTGGAGAAATCTTTAAAAAGATAGAAATATTCATCCTATTGAACACACAGAAATAAATTGAAATATTGAAATTCACATAAATAAAAAAATCAGATCTCTGTGCCGCACATAATATTTATAGAGTAGAATATAGTTTATTTTCATTAAGAAGAGGGTAGACCTATTGAATAATATTTTCATTCCTGTGATATTAAATAGCTGAATTTAATAACTATATTCCATTTTACTTTCCATTCAATTTAAAGAAAAGTTCCTCAAGTAATCAATGATATTAAGAAATAGATGCATACTATGCTATCTTATACCATTCCCTGGCCTTATACACTTACTAGTAATCAATCCAATGTTATTTACAAATTACTTATGATTTATTAATAGTTGTATCATTTTTACATTGCATTTCATTATATATCATGACTTTATCATATATAGCTCCACTAGAATAATTCTCCTGAAACATTCTTTCTATCATTTAATCCCCTTGTTTATTTGGTTTTTTGTTTGTTTGTTTGTTTGTTTTTGGCTAGGCAATGGGGTTAAGTGACTTGCCCAGGGTCACACAGCTAGTAAGTGTTATGTGTCTGAGACTGGATTTTGAACTCAGGTCCTCCTGAATCCAGGGCCGGTGCTCTATCCACTGCACCACCTAGCTGCCCCTAATCCCCTTGTTTATAAACTCTAAATGATTTCTCCTGTGTTGCAGAAAATAACTAAATACCTTAGCTTGGCATTTAAGGCTCTCCATCTATTTATTTCTCTACCTAGTTTCTTCAACTACTTACTTTCCACTATTCCCAGAAAGAAGAGAAGATTCATTATGGGGAAGAAAGCCAGCCTTAGAGGAAAGAAGGCCTGGGTTCAAGTCCTGTCTGTGATACACACTGGCTGTGTGTACCCTAGGCAAATCACCTAACTTCTTGACCCCCCTGGCCAACTCTTCAGGGCTATAATGTGCAAAATAAGTGATAATCTGCAGTGTGAGAGTGAGTTCTCCATAGTAATGAAATCTCAGGTCCATACCAGAAAAAAAAAATTCCCTTACCTGAATGCTTTGTTCTATCCAAATAATTTTACTAACTGCATCCAAACACATCTTTCCTATGTTGTCCCCATTCCTTTATTTACACGATTCCCTCTTACAAGGAATGTCTTACTTCTGCCAGATCTCACATCAACAAGACAACCATGTGGCTCCTACCCATAATTCAAAATCCAAATCAAATTGGACTCCCTAAGGGAAATCTACTTTCACAATTCCAAATGGACACAAACTCTCCCCTTCTCTACACTGATTTGGCACAAATCATACACTGCCTTATTATTTAGTTAGGCATGTCTTTAGGATCAGCAATGCGCTTTACATAAATTATCTCATTTGATCCTCATTAACACTGTGAAGTAATATAATTATTCTCATTTTCCAAAAGAAGAAACTGACACTAGGAGCAGTCGATTTACTGGCTTATCATTACACAGCTAGTAAATACAGAGATGGGATCCTAATGAAGTTCTTCTGTGCCCAAGTAATGGACTTTATGCACTATGCCATGCTGCCTCTTTATATGTATATATAAGGTCCTTGAGGACAGGTACTGAATTTCTTCTTTACTCCTTCCTTGATCTAACACAATGTTTTGTGCGTAGGATGTCCTCAAATCAGTACTTAATGATTGGTTCATAGATACATATGCCTGTTTGCAAATGGCTAAAAACTGGTCATGACCAATTATAGCCAAAGCTATTATGAGGGTGGGCCACCAGAGTTTTGCCAACATGCACTGAAGTTCCTAGGACAAGCAAATCTAAAATAATAATTTGAAACTACTGTGTACTTTGCTCATGTAAATTAAACTAGGGGAACAAAAGACAGATGTGAAGCAGCAGAGTCCATAATCATATCTTTATTAGATATATGTGCTGCCCACAACAAAACTGCTGACTTTTTTTGTTGCCTTGCATTTAGCTTATATTTACATAGAGATTTACAGTTTGCAAAGAATATTACATCTTTCATTTCATCTTCACAATAATCCTATAAAGCTTTTATAATTTGCCTATGAGAAAACTGAGGCTGAATGACATTTTGGTGTCACATACACAGTCACACTACAAGTAAATGTCTGAAGCTGGATTCTAAAGTGGGTCTTCCTCCTCATTTTCCAGAAGAAGAAACTGAGGCTAGGAGCAATCGATTAACTGGCTTATCATTACACAGGTAGAAAATAACAGAGATGGGATCCTAATAAAATTTTTGACATACTCTTGAAATAGCCATGAACTGTGTGACCCTGGGCAAGTCACTTAACCCATCTTGCTTTAGTTTCCTTATCTGTAAAATGACCAGGAGAAGGAAATGGTAAACCACCCAGTATCTTTGCCAAGAAAATCTCACAAAAGGTCACGAAGAATAGGACACCTCTGAAATAAGTGAATAAACTGTGATTAAACTTTTTGTTTCTGTATTCTTCTTCAAAGAAAAATGCTAGAAGTTGACTCACAATATTGATGCACGAGAAGAAAGATTGATTCTTAATCCATCTCCCTATTTCATCTTCATTTCTCCTACTCAATATCCTTGCTCTGTGAATCTCCTACCCTTAAGGGGCTCCCTCTAACATAGAAACTGAAGAACAAGAGGGCAGGCAGGAGCATATATAAAAGTCATAACCCAAGTTCATAAGAAAATCTCAGATAGCATAGCTTTATCTCTAAATAAAAATACATAGCCAAGCAGTGGAAAATTCAGGTTCCGAAACTAAAAGATCAAACTGCTAATGTTTTTTTTCTTAATTTTTTTTTTATTTTTCTATTTTGGACTTAGGAACACATGGAAAAAAGAGACTCAGGATTCATAAGAAAGTTACCAAGTTTCACCTAGGTGTTTATTTTTTTACATCTTACTGAAAATGTGCACAATTTTTATTTTCAAATACAGTATTCTTTAATGTTGGTATGGCACACTGTCTTTTAACATGTTCTTCAGTGTTGATATGTATACATATATATGTTTTATATATACACATGTATGTATAAATATATACACATATGTATGTATAAATATATATGTATATATGTGTGTCCATAGAATTCTCTCTGTATAAACCAGAATAATTAAGAGGAAACTATGAATTGATGCAGATTAAAGGGAAAAGAATCAGAAGAATATATATAGTGAGTAAAATGATATGAACTGAAAGACAGTTGAACTCTGATTAAATGTGATAACCAATCTTGGTTCTAGAGGATAGATGATTAAATACACTTCCTCCCTGGTATAGAGGTAAGGGACTATGTATAAGGAATATTATGTACAATGCTAGATGCAGTCATTATGTTATTTAGCTTTTGCCAAAATAAGATAATAACAGTTTCCCTCAGACCATCAACCTTGCTTCCAGCAGCCATCATAGAGGGGAGCAACTCTTGTGGCAAAGGAACCTGTCATCCCTACCAATGCCATCACTGACATGAACTATTAAACAAATGTCCCTGATTTGTATAGGCAAGACAAGTGACCAAAGCAGCAAAGTACCCTAAGAAAGACATAAGGGATGCTATTGCTAGGTGGGTCAAACCACCTTGGCCACCATCCTCCCTCAGAGGTGGTAGAGATAGAGATAGATATGGATAGATAGAGGACCCTAAGCCCAAATGCCTAGCAAATAGTAGTGCAATGCAAATCACCAACCCTGCTTGCAGAGGAGCCCTTCTAGCCATCACTGAAGGGAACAACCCTTGTGGACACTGTCCACACACCACCAACACCAATGCCAACTAACTACCAATGGAGAAATAAGCCTAACCCCCCCATGAACAGCAGCTCTTTCCCAACCATAAGCCCTGCTTACAGCCTACTCCCGGCAGCCATTATCCAGGGAAGCAACACTTGTAGAGATGTGGATGCGGAGGCCTCCACCTCCTAAATGACCACAGATATTGAAAACCTAGAAAAGACAGCACTGAAGTCCCTAACACTAACAAATGGTTTGATATCAGAATTCTATGTTTTTATTAATGGAAATGGTGGCAAAGTATAGACATTAGTACCTGCTTGGGTCATTTCCATCTGACTTACAGTTGAAATCTCCTATGTTTACTGTCTTCTTCCATTAAAAAATGAGCTCCTTGAGAGTGGGGGCTATGCTATTTAATTTTGTTTTTTACTTAAAGGGCACATAGTAAACATTTAATAAATGCTGTTTTCATTCATAAACTAACTATTTTTTCTGTATTACAAGGGAAGTTTAATGAAAGAGTGGCTAAATTTCAAAAACATTGTAATGAAAATCTAAAAGGCATTAGTAAAACTGTTTTTTTGAGGAGAACTGCATGGTAAAGCACACTTAGTTCTCTGTCAGTTAACTATGTATGTCATGCTTACTGCTGCAGTCTAACTGTTCAAGTCACAAGGCTTACTCACCTGGTCACACCTAAGGAGAAATAAATGATTCCTTGAATGTTGTATTTCTAAACATACACAAATAGAAAATAATAAAAGAAACATAATATCTACCTAAAAATAGGCATAGATAGATAGATAGATGTAGATATAGATATAGATATAGATATAAATATAGATATAGATATAGATATAGATATAGATACACACACACACAGAGGATATAACACAATCTAAAATATCCAAATGCAAACCAGGAATCTATTTCCACATCCATAGATAAACATACAGAACAGAACCATATTTTGACATGACACAGATAAGTTCAAGTCCCCTAAAATAATGATGTATCAGGATTTTACCCTGTACTCAGCTCACCAAATATCAGTCAAGCATTTACTAAATGCAAGGCATTTTCTAGGCACTAGGGATGCAAAGAACAACATATAATAGTCTAGCCCTTCAAGGAGCTTACATTCCATTGGGAATGCTAGGGATGAGGAAATGAATATCAGCACTAGTCCTGTCCAAACATTATGTGTACATATATGTGTGTGTGTGTGTATATATATATACACACACACACACATATACACACAGACACACAGACATAGATATAGATAGCAGACTGACTAGTGGACGAAGGTACAGTCCTAGATTCAGGAAGCCTTGAGTTCGAGTTCTGCTTCTTCCACATACTAACTCTGTGACCATAGTCAAATTACATAACTAGTTAGCCACATACATATACATACAGAGATCTATGTAATACATAATATATATGTGTATGTGTATGCATTATACACACACATACTTATAAAATAGTTACAAATTGCTAAAAGTCCATTGTCAACATGTGAATTTATACAAATTCTATTATTTAATTTTTCTAGATATTCTACAAACGTCTTATTTTTTTTTCAAAAGATAAAGTTTGCCTGGAGATAGTGAGCAAATTAGGGGTATCTATATAAGCCTAGATCCGTAATATGAAAAGGAATTAGAATATTAGTTTTAAATTAAATTAAAATGTTCAAATATATACACCTGGCTTTTATGCAACTTACCTCGATAGACTAGAGACTTGAGATGTAATTAGTATCACCAGTTTTCTTGTTATCCTGTGATTTTTCAAGGATTGTCCAAGAACAAGAGCTCCCTGGCAGTAAACATCATTGGTAGCGAGTGTCACAAACGCTTGATCTGTAACTAAATATTTAGAAGAAAATCCATTTTACTTTTCTGACTGGCAGAACGGCAGATATATTGCAACCACCCTTTCTCCCAAACTTTCATGCTTGGCACACAGACCATAACATAAAGGCCTGACTTCATGCATGTCGGTATATATCTATTCATGAAGGAGCAGATGTCGCAGTGGATAGAGAGCTGGGCTTTGAGTTAAGATGACCTGAGTTCAAACCTGGCTTCAGACACTTACTAGCCTCAGATACTCCTGGGCAAGTCACTTAACCTTTGTTTGTCTGTTTCTTCAACTTCAAAATGGGGATAATAATAGCACCTACCTCCCAGAGTTGCTGTGAGGATCTAATGTGATAATATTTACGAAAAGCATTTAGCACAGTGCCTGGCACATAGCAGGCATTATCTAAATGCTTATGTCCTCCTTCCCTCCCTCCCTCATTACACAAATGCAAAGCATAATTCCCACCCCATCCTCCAACTCAGAAGCTTATTTAATGAGTTATTGGCTTTCTTCCTTTTCCCTTCTTCTGTTCCCCACCAAACACACACACACACATGAATGGAGGAATGGATGGATGAATGGATAAATGGATGGATGGGTAAGTAGATGGATGGATGGGTGGGTGGATGGATAGATGGATGGATGGATGGATGGGTGGATGGATATATGTGTGCAAATTTGCATGAGCACATGGACACATATAAAGGAGTTGGTCTTTAATCAATCCCAAGAGACCCAAATCTAATCACAAGGTGTTAAACTAACTGTAAGATATGGCTACTCCAGGTGTTCACTTTATGAAGTATAAGCAAGTTATTTAACTCCATTAGAAAGAAAACATTGGCCACTGTCTCAAAATGATTGGCCATGCCTCCAAGTAGACTTACAAAACAGTCAAGTCAAAAATGAGTTGGCTTCTGCTAGTCTACTTATTACAAGAGTAGTTATATGAAAGAGACTCCTATACCTATAACAGAGGGTGGAAGGAGGGGAAATTGCCCCCTCTCTCATTGAGCACAGAGACTAGAGGCAGAGCTACTAGCAGTAGCAAATACTACATTCTTCGGGTCAAGAGAGTGGGAAGCACAGTTTTCCAAAAAGCTAAGGACAAAAGAGGAAGTGACTTGAAGCAAAAGGCAGCTTTAAAAAGTATGACCTCTGACAGCAGAGAAGAGAGCTGACTATGGATTCAACTGAGAATTAACCTTGACAATCAAGAGTGGAGTGGTACAGAAGAGTAGACCCTGAGAAACTGGCCCAGTAGAGACATTGTGCCAAGGGTGGGTCATCATAAGGCCTCCATCAGGAAATAATGAAGTACCTAGAGGCCCTACCTCCCAATGCATAATTTTTTTTAGCCACTGAGTTTCTTGCATGCATGCCTCACTATCATTATACTCAAAGTTTGTGCTCACTCTTCCTATGGATGCTTAGCACGTTTTTAGGTGAGTGTTACCTGGTTTTGTGGTGGGAATGTTTTCCAGCCACTGCTCTTACTATGCCATCTTAATAAATGCTTCTGCTTTGAGCTAATTGTGTCTACTAGCTGACTCTCAAAGACAATTGCATGATGGATGCTCATGAGTGTTAGTTTTAAAAGTTCATTTAGAATGAGGGAAAAGATTTTTATTTTATTTAGTATTCCAAAATTTCCTAAAGTATCTTTTTCAATTAAGAGGTGATTTCTAGTTAATCATTTATAAAACTGTTTTCTCCTTGTTTTCTTTTTTCTTTTTTTTTCATAAGATTGTTGAAAATACAAAAAAAAATAGGCCAACTCTAGGCAAAACTGAGAATTAAGGCAATTGTTTTGGCATATTAAGCAAAATTGAAGCTATTCAGGTGAGGCCCAAAGACCTCTATGGGATCAAAATTGTTTGCCATACAAAACTATTTTCATAATAATGATGATTTTTAACAATATAACTTTTAGCTAGCTTTATTCTCTTCATATAATAGCCAAAGTGTCTTAGTGGCTAGAATCAACCATGGAGACAGGAAAGCCTGGGTTCAGTTATCATCACTGACACATATCAGCTACATGACCCTGGGCAAGACACCTAACCTTTCAGTGTTCCAAGCAACTCTCTACATGTTAGTTGCAGAGAAGGGGCTCACTTGCATCAGTAGAGGGAGATTTCTCATCCGGGAGAGTTTTCTATACCAAAGAAATCATAAGTCTAGAGCCTATGCCTCTGTAACAGCCAGCAACCATTCCTAATGCATGCTTTGTAAATACCATAAGTTTAAGTCATTTGCCAAGTTGTGGTAGAAACCACAAATATTAGTAGAGAGGGATGAAAGATTTTCATATTGAGTATCATGTGGTAAGCTAGACTTTATCATTTCAAGTGTCTGTTTTACTGAAGAATATGCATGCCAAATGTCTTTTTCAATGATTTATAATATGTATTTTATCACTCGCAATGTTTTTGTCTAATACATTCTAGTAAATTTTTTTTAAGCAGAAGGATATGCATTTCTTGCCAAGATAATTGTGTCTAGGCACAGTCAAGTCATAATCAAAATCTCTACCTGCTTCAAAAATCAGATTAACAGAACACTTGAATTGTAAGAGTGAAGGTGGAGAGGGAGGTGATAGTGTTTCATTAACAGAATGGCTTTCTCTCACCATAACTTCTCACTAGGGATACAAGAAATAGTTTGTTATCTGACCCAGTTTACAGTACAACACTGAAGTTCACATACATACCACTACTTTGCACTTCTATAGCAACTTTCAAACAAGTTTGTCTCTCAGGCCCCAGAGAGCTTGGTTGCCAAGATAAAGACAATAGTTCTATGAGGAAAAGAGACACACTGAGAAATCCTGAGCCTTGCCCAAGGCTACTGCATTGTCTTGAGAAATTGGAATTCCTAGCATGAAGCCCTGTGCCCAGACCACACAGTATCTTCGGTTCCCACAAAGCAGACTACAGTAATTCCTGAGGTTTGTAAGACTCCAATAGTACTAAAAATCATACAAGTCCTAAATTAAATCATGAAAATGCAAGCTTTAGAGCTCGCTTTCACATAGTGGTTTCTTTGTTACTAACATTCCAAAGGGAAAAACTAAATAAATGAGCCTCTCTAGATACTCTGTATACTCTCCCTCAACTTACTCTGAGCATTGTTAGCTAAGAAAGAATACTTCAGGTTCTTTCATAGTTATGATCAACTGCAGATGAGAGGGAAATAGTTGTTGTGGTTGTTTGTTTGTTTTTTAATTTGAAAAAAAAATTTTTTTAGTTTTCAACATTCACTTTTATAAGATTTTGAGTTCCAATTTTTTTCTCCCTCTCTCCCCTCCCCCTTCCCCAAAACTGCTTGCAATCTGATATAGGCTATACATGTACAATCAGATTAAATGTATTTCCCCATTAGTCATGTTGTGAACGACAAATCAAAACAAAAGGGAAAAACCATGAGAAAGGAAAAAAAATAGAAAATAGTGAGCTTCGATCAGCATTCAGACTCCATAGCTCTTTCTCTGGATGTGGATAGCATATTCCATCTTTAGTCTTTTGGAACTGTCTTAGATAATTGTATTGCTGAGAAGAGCTAAGTCTATCAGAGTTGGTCATCGAACAGTGTTGCTGTTACTATGCACAATGTTCTCCTGGTTCTGCTTACTTCACTGAGCATCAGTTCATGTAAGTCTTTCCAGGTTTTTCTGCTATCTGGCCGCTCATCATTTCTTATAGAACAATAGTATTCCATGACATTCATATACCACAACTTGTTCAGCCATTCCCCAATTGATGGGCATCCCCTCAATTTCCAATTCTTGACCACCACAGAAAGAGCTGCTATAAATATTTTGTAAATGTGGGTTACAAGGAAAGTATTTGTTAACTTTCAGGTGATATTCTTGAGTGAATAAAACAAAAAAACATAATTCACATTTACAAAGTACTTTCCTCACAACAACCCTATAAGGAAGATACAAGTATTATCAGCCCCATTTTGCAGATGGGAAAAGTGAAGCTTCAAGATTTTAAGTGATTTGCCCATGGAACATGCCTAAGAAGTGTCTGAGCCTTGATTCAAAACCAGTTTTCCTGAATTAAAGTTCTATAAGTCCTGACTCTTTCCTCACTATAATCTGAATTGTGTACTGAAGTGACTGCTGTCATGATTCTATTTTGGAAGTTAACTAAATACAAGACAGAAGTGTAGTCTATTAAGACCTAAGTATGGGAGCACTTCTGTGGTGCAATAAATAGAGCACTGTCCCTGGAGTCAAGAGGACTTGAGTTCAAATTCTGCCTTAGACACATAACACTTACTACCTGTATGGGCAAGTCACTTAACCCCAATTGCCTCACAAAAAAAAAACCCTCTAGTATGACTGAATGTGCTGAATTTCACTATTGATGTTTCAAAAATTTTGGATGCTGACTTAAGCCACTGTTCATTTTTTAATAAGCAAAGTTAACTTTCTTTTTGTTATACAGAAGTGGTTAGGTTCCATAGTATCCTTAGTTTTATTTCCTTGGTCATAAGGTGATAAGGGGTCAAAGGAGATTGAGGCCAGAGGAGGTCATAAGAATAGGTAGTAACAAAACAAATCCATGGCAGAACTCACTTAAGCACATAATTCAGATTATCCAGAGAGTCAACTTTCTAGAGCTTCTAAGCTATGGATCATTATTGCCATTCCTGCATCCTAGACTTTTGAAAGATTTGTCTAGATGCCTCACTAGGATTCTGTTATTTTGGAGGAAATATCAGACAAATGGAAATTTTTGGCATTTTAATGTAAATGTCTGAAACATATTTATGGGTTTTACACTTACACCTTCAGTGTTAGGACCAGTAGCCTCCTTAACATTTCCTCTACCAGCAGACCTTTTATTTAAGAGGCTATATTATTTTTAAAACTTGGAACATATGGTATAATACAAATTAAATAAGGCTGAATTTTTTTAAAGTACACTAGGGAAAAAGGAAACTGTAAACATAGAAAGCTATACAAATGTAGAAGCAGGATGCAATTATA